TGAAAGATGGAGGAGCAAGTGGCCAGAGTTTTGTTCCGACTTGAGGGGGATTTCATATGAAGGACTGTAAGGAAGATGAGGTATGAGAAGCTGGAATTCCAAGCTGAAACAGATAAGAAGTAGAGAGCCACAGGCCAAGATCAAATGAGCAACAAGTAGAGAGTCTGCATTTGAACCAGGCAGTCTGACTCAGGGTCCACATGTCATCTCAACCATGGATGACCACCACAGACACCTTGTTTCTTTCTTATCCCCCATATTCTGGCTTCTCTCTTGCTATGTACACTCTCCTAAGTCTCCACACACCTGGGGCCACCCACTGCCACAATCCTGTTCCCGTATCTCACCTTGACTGAGAGCTAAGCCAGGAATGAAGCATCTGAAATAATGTTGAAGGAGAAAAGCTAAAGTGAGTGGAGAAGGACATCACTTTGTGTTCTTTACTTTCTGTCGGCCACTGCCTGTCTCCCAGTCTAGACCCTACCTACAGGTGCGGCCTCCAGCACAGCTCATCTCCGCACTGTCTCCGTGTAGAACCCATGTCCCTGCTCAGATTAGATGTACGAAATCCCCTGGTTGTAGATTTGGGGGCCTGTGGAAATGAATCTCTCATAAAGTGCTGAAGGGCACAAATTAACACAGCTTGAGAGAAGTGGCCTGGAGTGAGCTTCACTTCACACTAAGCCAGGACCAGATTATTAGTCCCAACAAAATAGTTTGTTTATAGTCCCTCTCGTGGATGCCAGAAGAGGAAGACGGCAGATAGGAGGCAGGACTGACTTGCAGCTCCCGCTCGGATGGACAGAGCAGCATGTGGAGATTCACACTGTGGACTTTTGTGCCAAGAACTACCATAGGACATACCAGGAAAGCTAAGAGAATCCAAACACCCTTTGAAGGAGGAGGCTTGCCACTGCAGGCTCCGTGCCAAAAACTGAGTGTCAAAATATGTGACACTGTAAAAGGGGGATGCTCCACCCTCAGACACACATCCTCACTGGGGAACCTGAAGGTCCAGATGGTGCAAAAATGATTTAATCTTACGTGGAGGTGAGATGAATTTAGAGAACCAAGCAAAATACACAGGTAAGGGAAGCAACAACAAGAGCTATGCAGGGCACTCTTGGCCCCCAGGGAAGCCATCTCTGACTTTGTCTTGCAGGGGTCCTTTTGGAGGGCTGCCAGTGGAATTGGGGAAAGACCACAAGGAGAAGGAAACTTTCAGATCAATTTTGTAATAATCTTGACTAATGTGAAGTTTCCTGGAAAGAACCTGGGGAGGGGAAACTGGGGATGTAGACACAAGCACAGAAGCTGAGGCAGACAGAGAGGCATGAAACCTAAAAGCCCTGCTTGCTTTCTTAATGAGGGGCTTGTAGACTGGGGCAAGTTCTCAGCCCTGCTCACCAGCTGCCTGGAAATAAACTCAGTGCTACTGGGGGCACAAAGTGGAGGTGAGACTGGCCTTTTGTGCTGCGTGAGAGCTGGGTGAAGCCTGTAACTGCTGGTTTCCCCCACTTCCCTGGTGATCTGCATGACACAGCAGAGGCAGTCATAACCCCCTGGAAACATAACTCCATTAGTCTGAGGACCACACCCCAGTCCCACACAGCAGCCAAGGCAACCCTTGCCTAAGAAGAGTCTCAGGTCAGACACCCCAATTCCACACAGCAGCCATAGCAAGCCTCGCCCAAGGAGAGTCTCAGCTCAGACACCCCAATTCTACACAGCCGCCAAGTCAAGCCCCACCCAAGGACAGTCTGAGCTCAGACAGGCCTAACACTGCCCCCACACCTCATGGCCTTCCTCTACCCACCCTGGGAGCCAAAGATAATCTCATGCGAGCTCTGAGGTCCGGCCCATTGCCTGAGAAATCAGGATACTTACCCAGGTAACCCTAAGGCAAGCTTGTGTCTTCCCTACACTACTGCAGCTGATGCACTCTTGAAAGAATCAACTGCTGGCTGGAGACCAACCAGCACACTTATAAAAAAAAATACAGCCAAGGACCCTCACAGGGTCCACTTCACTCCCCTGCTACCTCCACCACAGCATGTGCTGGTATCCATGGCTGAGAGACCTGAAGACAGATCACACCACAAGGCTCTTTGCGGACACTGTCCAGTACCAGCCCAGAGCCCAGTAGCTTTGCTGGGTGGTTAGATGTGGAAG